CTGTGGAGTGGCTGCTGGTCATTTTCCACCCTGAGAAACTCCTCACTGAGGCCATAAATTCTCTTTTCGTGTGGTTCTTAAATTACTGTGTCCACAAAATCCATCCATCGCGTTAAAAACACAGGAAATATCCACCGAGTTTCCACTTTAATTTTTTATAATCAAACAGTTGAGCTCATCTGCAATGAAGCCGAGCCAAATGAATAAGTTAACGATCCCCAAAAGCTCGCTGGAGTATGAGCGCACACAACCACACCCCCGCTGCATACAGACATACGAACCGCACGAGCCTACCTTTACATGCACATAGGCATTATCTTAATTGGTAATAAGGAAAAGGAACTGAGTAAAATATTTGTAGCTGCCATTTAAAGCATTTACAAGACGTGTAAACACAGTTTCCATTCCTTTATAATGTGCATGTGTGTTTAGGGGGTGGCCAATACGGCTTTACAGCACCTTCAGAATCAATCAGCAGGAGAACCAACCTTTGCCTGACACCGCTGCAGTTTGCTGTTTTGTCAGGGAAATCTGAACCTCTGGAACTGTTACATCTCAGCTCTGCTGGCCCGGAGTAATCTGAGGATATTTATCTTTCAATAAAATACTTTTACTCGCTTCCATGCACGTCTACTCGCTTTTATCATCTGCAGCTCCAAATATTTACATGTAATATTTCAACGGTGTAATTTGACCTTTGACCTCCGGCAGCTGGCTGGTTGAAGCCTGAAATATATCGAGTATCATTTTTGGAAGTTTTTTTTCTTTAAACCTAATAAAAACTATACACAGATGCTTACTTGTTAAGGCGAAGTCCTGCAATCTGCACAAAGATAAAGCGCAACAAAGAATTCATTGTTCAACGAAACTGCCTTTGGGATATTATACTTTTAATAGCCTGATAAACAATCTTGACAAATATCCTCCTCCTGCTGCTTCCTGCTCTGCCTCATTTTGTGCCTCCTTGCTTCCAATATGATCTCTTCTTCCTCCTTCTGTCTTTCTACTAACACAATGGAAAGATTTCGGGCCAGGTTGAAATGGGTCATCGCCATCAACAAGGCTAAAACTGGAAAGCCGTGTTGGTTAGCCCTGTTATATGCGATTCACTCTGTCAGTGTCATGACACTGCTGCTAATGAAATTTTAAAGTCTGCGACACAAAATGCACGTGATGTGACGAATGCTGGCAAATATTCGGCATTGCTGCAACGCCCGCACGTGTAAACAAAGCTGTCTGAGCTCAGAGGCCAGTTTCCCCTATTATGGCACTGATTGAATAACCATCATTGAAGGACAGGCTGGAAGCCCCCAAAGCTTGTGTGTGTGAGCTAGTGTGTGTGTGTGTGTGTGTGTGTGGGGAGGGGGCTAATCCGCCTTGTGTTGCTGTTGAAGAAATTTCAAGGTCTTTGAGAGCCAGTGGAGCTGGGAGCCTAAGGTCACACACACACACAGACATGGGGTCTTTTGGTTTCTACGCTGCTCTCCCCCTTCTCAGTCATCCTCCCTTTTCATTTCCTTTGTCTTTTCTCTCCCACTTTTTCTCCTCCTCCCCCCCTCCTCCTCCCCATGTTGTCCCATTTCTCTATTCTCCCTCCACATTCTCGTCCTCAAACTTCCAATCTTTGCCTCCGACAACTTCTCGTATAAATCTTTCTGTTTGGTTTTTATCAGTTTAAACCACTCGTGTGCTCCCGCGCTTGAATGCTGGAAAGACTCCCGCTGATCACATGTGAAACAACAGGTTGACCTCTGACCTTTAACCCTCCCTCTCCTCTCCATCTCTGTCCTCTTTCTGATCTTTTTTTTTTCTTCTCCCACTTCTCTTCTCTTTTACCGTTTAGATCATGAGCCACAACATACCACACTATAGTCAAACGCTCAGGGCTGAAGCTCTGCAGCTTCCCACCTGACTGAGGTAAATGGAAATCTCCAACGCTACAATTACCGCTCTTGCCATTCTATCTATTTTTAGGTTCGTAACTCGTGATTATACCGAGCATTCCTTTCATTCCGGCGTCTTCTTTCCTATCCATCATCAAACCTCCAGTCAGACAAGACACCTGAAGATAAGCTACTGGGTGACCTTCCTCCTCTCGCTCTCCGCTCCCACAGTCAATTCATCAATCTCTCCACCAACATCTGCTCTATCTCCCTTATCCTCTCTGGCTCCGTTTCCATCTATCACGGGATTTCTCTGGAAGCAGAAGTTAACCTGTTTTGGATCAGATGTCGTGGAATGTGAAGACACAACCAACCCCCCCTCTCTCGCCAGATCTATCTCTAAAACACACACATATTAGAGTCTTAAACACTTGCAGCTCACTTACATATGCATATTGCTCTGACTAAGTGATGGGAACACGCTCCCGTCACATACATGCACTTATAAAAACACGCATTTGCACATACAGGACAACCAACAAGTTCCAGATGATCCCGACTCCCACAGATCTCCAGTTGCCATGCCCACCCAGTGAGTGAATGTGATTGGTTGTATAGCGTGTGTGTGTGTGTGTGTGTGTGTGTGTGTGTGTGTGCATGTAACTTTACTCCCACCGTTCTGCCACATGTCAGCAGTTGCTCAGTCATCTTTGACACACACACTCAGCGGATTACAGCCAGGGTCTGTAGAAAAGTACTTGTCTCTGCATGCGTATAGCCGAGTCACCACAGGACTTCAATACTCTTATATAACACGTGAGCAGTATATCACGTCTAATAATACTAGTTTTAGACAGCTTATATTTTACAGCACTATCAAAATAAGAGACAAGAGACCTCCTTGACTCACAACGCAGTCGGTAATCACCAGGTTTCCCCGTTTCGATGAGCAGCGGAGAGGAAAAAACGAGGGATGTATGGCGGACAGAGAAAGCTCAGCAGAGGCTGGACGTTTGTTTTCTGATAAACAAACCGGCGTTTCCTTGACGCAGGGCATCAGGCAAAGCTGATTTTAGCTCCTGGGATTCAGGAAGACTCGAGGAGCATCTTGTGATGGGAGATGACAGGAAAAACAACCGCACGCTCCCATGGGAAATAATCATACACTGAGAAATACTGTATAAACACGTGCGGATTCGAAGAGAAAACATTTAATTATACAGTTTGACCTCGTCTGACTTTTTCTGCTTCTGATTAATTTTCACAATTAGTCACAGCACAGATGGGAATAGCACGGTGAATAGACGGAGCAGAGCGCAAATTCTAAACATGCTTTTCATAACAAAAACCTTCCTGGCCTCGTTTCTGATGCTTTGACTTTTATATTATATCGCTAAGGATTCATTCTGCGGGACTCGCTGCTAAATAACAAATAAAAGATACAGTTTTTATTTTTAAAAAACTGCTGTTTCTCTGGCACAGTAAGCAGTGTTTCGTCGGGGCAAGCAGTTCCACGTGAGTCCATGTCACTGTTTTCTTCCTCCGCTAAAACCTCAGCTCAGTCAGTGCCCTGAACGTCATATGACCGGCTGAGACTGTTATTCTACATCTCCGGCTGCTGAACGCACCTCTGTCTCTGTGTCTACCCGTCAACAAGACCTGAAAGCTGAAAGACTCTCTCTGTTTCCTTCCATTTCTGTCCGCCTCACCTCTACACATATACACTTCACGTCTCGCTCACACACTCGGTGCAGAAGTTGCATCAGTGCAGCACAATGAAGCAACAGCATCCTGTGGTGACCGGTGTGCCATCCTGTCTCGTGTTTCACGCTGTGTGCAAGATGCAGTCTTTTTGGTGACCTTTACGTATCTGCAGACAGAGAATGAAAGCTGATTGAGAGCAACCAGTCGTGTTCTAGCCACAGAAAAGCAACTGGGGAAATCTCAGCTTCACGAACCTTCAGAACACTTCTGTTGTAAATCTTCACCGTACATTCTACAGATATCAAGCCAACACATTTATGAGGCTTGATTACCAAACTGCCACAGTCATCAGGAAATCAAACCCACTTACATTTAGGCCTGGATTCTTTTGCATCCTCTTCCGCTTTCAGTACTCACTTGTGCAATGTGTGGTGGAGGTAATACGATGCGCCGCAGCATCCGTTCACACACATTTGAAACTCAACCGTCAATATGCCAGAGACCGCCAGAGACGACAACCCAAAACCATGACTAAGAGAAAACGAAGCGCCGAAGCTGCAACAATGAGCAAAAGTTGCACTGTGTCACCTCAGTTTGGCAGATGTTTCTGTTAGAGATGCAGCACCCCAATAATCGGGGAGGATCTCGACAAAAGTTTTGCGATTTCTGCACCATACAAAAGTGCAGAAACATTTTGTAAACAGAAATGTGCCCCCAAGGAGCTGCTACACGTGCAGGTCAATGTTATAAAAGTTGAACAACCAATGAGTCAAATATTTTCAAGCAGTGCAGTTCCCTGTATGAACCAGTCAGAGGAGCAATATTTTTTTAATGGCTGACATGCACATGGAATCTATTGTTCATGGAGGAAACAACAATTCAAGGATCTTTCAGTCATCCTCTGCTGCCCATACAACAAATATAATACATCCATAGAGCCACATACATGGAAAAAGTGCTTAACTAAAAACAACCATCTAGAAAATGTGCAATTGGTATAACGAAAACCAAAATTAATCTCAAAAGAGGAAGTTCTAAACTCGCTTACTGCTGATGTCTTAACACACAAACACCATCCTGACACTGAATTACTGTCAGGAAGTCTATGGCACATCTGGACCTGCCATGCTTACTGTAAAATTCTGCCAAAATCAAAACATCAAAACCATTAGCTAAAGATGTAATCTGCACCTGTGTCTCAGTCTCAACAAGATTGTAATCTCATTTCAGTAACATTTACACAGAAGTGCATCTGGGCGAGCAGGAAGTTCCAAGTAACACTATCAGTGTATCAGCAACCTCAAGATATCGAGACAAAAATAGGACATACAAAACAGAAGAGGCAACATCCAGCTGTTGTGGACCAGACACACAGAATAGAGACAGAGAGCAGTTTTCTGAGTCGGGGCTTACCTGCAGCTCACACCACGCCACTTCCACTGTCGTCTCTGTATCCAGTCCTTTGTACACGGTCTTAAAAGAGCCTCTTCCAATCTCTATGTCAAATTTCAGGAAGCGTCCGTCTGGTGAAGTCCCCACAGCTTTCGTCTCGGCCTCCTCTATATCATCCTGCACTCGTTTCTCGGCTTCCCTCTGCTCTGCCCGGGCTTTCGCTAACCCCTTCTCCTCCTCCGTCTCTCTGTCTTTCTCCTCTGTCGGACTGCTAACGATTCCCTCGTCCACCTTTCCGTCTTTCGCCACTTGTTGCGTGTCCTGGGGCCCTCTGGGACGCAACACAACGTCAGGCTGTTTGCTTACTGTTTTGTCGGTAACATCCAATACTGTCGGGCTGGGCTCTTTTACTGCCCCGTCTGCACTACGTTCAGCACTGCTGCTGCTGCTGCTGGGAGCAGCGGCTGCGGTGATGCTCACACTTAAATCTTGCTTAGCATTTTGTACGTGCCCCTCTGCAACTGCCCCTCCAAGGCCAAGACAAGGCTGAAGAGTGACGCCTTGCAAATAGGAACCTCTTGAGGGCTCCTCGCCGTCAGAATCGTAATCCCCAGGTCCAGACCCAGAAAGCTGCGGAGAGAAGAAGGTGGGAGGCCCTTCACAGTCCGGTGGTGAGGTGAGTATCACAGCTGCTTTGCTGGGCAGGTCCAAAGCTGTCGCATTGGAGTCACAAATCACACTCCGGCGGAAGAAACGGTGCTCGGCTGTTTTAGAGTCTCTATCCATGGTGTGGCGCCGACGTTGGACCTCAGGCTGTCCGCTGAGCTTCTCCACGACGTGCGAGTCTGAACTGGCAGAGCCGTTCACATTCTTGTGGGGGGTCTGGGGTGATGGACAAGGGGAGGCAGAAGAAACAGGGGGTGGCGGGGCAATGAATTTCACTGCTTTGCTGCTGCTTTTGCTCTCAGACATTCTTCCAGGAGGCTCAGACCACAAAAAAAAACAATTCTGTACGTATAAATAAAGATTTTTTTTTTTATGTGTGTAATCAGACCAATCTATCTGTGTAAACTCTGGATGTAGGCACACATCTAATCCAGCAAGCTCCTTTGAAAAAAACAAGAAAACTCTCTCAAACTCAAACAAAAGCAAAAGTGATGGGTTACAAAAATAAAATCAACTGAATGCAGCAATCCTCGTTGTGTTTTGCAGTTTGTTTGTTTTTTTGCAAGATCTTCTTTCCTCTGCTTCCTCTTTGCTACAGCAACTGTTTTAACAAGACAACCTACAGTTCCTACAAGGCCCTTCCGTACAGGGCTCAGGGAAGCCCCAGGTGAGAGGAAGGGGCTTTCGCTTAAAGACCGGGGAGGGAGGGGACGAAAGGCAGTCAAAGGAGGAGGGGTGCAAGCACTGCAATGAGGTGACAACCGTCAAATCAACACCCGAATCCATCCTGCTGCCAACATCCAGAGAGGGACGACCAAAACATGGAAGAAGTGGAGATCTAACCGCGCAGTACGGCCTCCCAAAAGCTGAAACAACTGAATATGGTTGGAGTCCAATGTGTTACAGCTTGACTTGGAGATCCTGGGAAGTTTCTGTCCGACCAGGCTGAAGCCTCCTCTGCCTGCTGAACATGGGACTCCCTGGAAAGGCTGCTGGCCCGTCCGCTGAGGCCAGACAGAGGGCTAGGTAGGCCGAGCCCGGCCTGGCCTGGCCCAGCTTGGTCTGCTTCTGTCTTTGTCACTGGAAATAAGACAAAGAGATGGAAAACTGTTAAACTCCTTCATACATTACACAATTTACCATCTGTATTCTCTTGACTGTACTATAACTGACCCAGTGAACTTCAAGGATACTCAAAGATGCTTGGCTTCCTGCCAAAGTGGCTAGTAGAGCATAAAAGCTGTCAGATACCCGAACATTTTACCGACATTTGGCCAGTGATCAGTGGTGTGATTGACACAAGCAGCGGAGGAAATGAACACCAGGCATACGCTGCTGCTGCCACAGTTGACAAATCTGTCATCTTTGACCACTAAGCATCGATCAGGCGCTCATCTGGATCTTCTTTACATATACAGTCTGGCTGGTAAAACACTCAAAACAGATCAGTGACTGAAAAAGTTGGGTTTCTTGAATCAAAAAAGTGAATATTCACATTCATTACAGCGCTGTCATGAGTAATTCATTACTTCAGAATAATCTTTTAAAAGATTCATTCAATCCTTTACACTCGGTTCGGGATTTATCAGTGAACATTTCCCTTTAAATTGATCTCAGCACAATCTTTAATCTTCAACTCAAGCTCGTTATACAGACAGAGATCCGCATCCCCACCCCTGCCTTCCCCTCCCAGTTGCCCCTGTGTAGTTAATGCAGTGGAGTGATGTAGCAGAGTGTGTGCCTAATTGCTCCACGTTCCAAATTTAGCCCAAAGTCACCACAGCCCGACTGACCCCAAGGTTAGGCTACTCTGTGGCAATTCAGCAGCTTAACATGAGAGAGGAGGCGGCGCTCACAGTGACACAGATAGAACCACTGCACAGAAACCAAACGCATATCTGAGGACAGTGAGTGCACAATAGCGGACAGCCGACGGTGCACTCTGCATATTAATTTACTGAAAATGCAAGTAGTAAAAAATAGACTCACTGAATTTGCAAGTTGTCTTACATAACATCCCACATATAACTTCTGCTCGGCTATCACAGCGGCACTGAAGAACAGCAGCTGCTTTTGTGTGCGATGTTAGAAATCACTCACATGAAACTGATTCATGATTAAAGCAACCAATAAGTTCTCGCAAGTTTTAATCGACTCTGAGGCACAAAGAAACATGCAGAGTAATAGTCACACTTTCATTTAGTCATCGACGAGGGTTTTCTTCGGTGAAATCAATTTTCTATAAATGGAGTTTTAAGTGAACACTGGACAACTGTGTGCAAAGTGTGTCAGTGAATGTACACCTGCACAAACCACTCTCACGTCAATCAACCCAGATGGCGTAGAACCACTTCACATGAAAGCTGTGAAGAGTGCTAGAAAGCCTAAAGCATCTCATGTTGACAAGTCAAATTTTCTTTGCGTCAGTCAAAACACAAAGCAATCTTTGTTCAAGAGAAACCTTTAAATTTCAAGTTCAATCTGAAATTGATCAAACTACTTTTCTGACTGTTAGTTTTTTCTGTTTAGCTATGTGCGCTATTATATGTATATTAATACGTTATGAACAGGTTTTAAACAGACAGACAGCATCTTGTACCCAGGTTTGCATTTGATGACACCTGGCTGCCCTAGAGGTTAAGACAAGTGATTTATTTAACCAGATGTTCCAGCTGTGCGCTGCAGTGATTGGCAGTGTTGACGATGATGATCAGTGAGGTAATTCATTAGGCTGTGAACAAGATGACATCAACTGAGGAGACATAAAGTGATGACTTAAGTATGAGGCAGCTATTCTCACTGACGTGTCTCGCCAAGCGTTTTGCATAAATCACAAAACAACGTCCAGTTTAATCCCATGAGTGGACTGCTGTGCTTCAGCGCCTGATCACTCTGTGTACAAGGCCTGAAAATGACCAAACAGGTGTACAGTATGTATGTATATCTTATTGATTAATTAGGAGTAACACTAAACATTTATAAAGATACTGAAGACGCTATTGTTATTATTTCTAGTGAAAAACTGGTTATTTTGCCAGGAAGCTAAACAGGTTAGCAATTAGGTAGCAGTAATTCCCCAGCAGCTAGGGGGTGCTGAAGCTACAATAAAAAAAAAAGTGTAATAGCAGAAATTAAACTGATAAGAAACAGGACATAAATTAATTTTAACAGCTTTATTTTTTACGCTATTTTGTCACAGATGTCACATGAGGGCCCATTAGAGGTGTCCATGTAAATGCCTGAAATTAGCTCAGCTAGCTTAAACTAGCTAATATTGCAACAAACATAAATATAAATGTTAAAGCATTTATTAACATTCATATAAAACATTAGCAAAGTTACATTTTTCAGTTTTAGTGTATATTTTAGTGTCAATTCCTATTAAATATTTAAAATATAAGTAGAAAATTTAAGCTAAACTTGATTCTTGCTAGCGGCTAATGGGCTAGTGCAGCCAAAAAAAAAAAAGTAACGGTGAGCACTAAAATTATTATTATTATTATTATTATTATTATTTTAAAAATATAAAGAAATTGCTATCGGTGCATCACCAGCTAAAGCCAAGGATTAAATTAACTCCATTTGCTAACGCCGGCTCATTAAAACCAAATGAAAGCAAGATGTTCATCCTGTTAAAATGCGCACAGGCGCACATAAAGTATACAGCATAGGAGTCTTTACTAAGTTTAGGTTGGTGTTGGTAACGCATGCTAACTTGTCATATCTGCAAGTTGTGTGACAAATACTTAATCGTGCATTGGCTGAAATGTGTTTAAATGTGCAGTTGTGTTGCAGTGAGGGGTTCACCGCTGCCTGTTGAGGAACTCCGCGAACCCCCGGGCTATGCTGCTGCTAACTTTGCTTACAGGCAAGAAGAAGACAGGAGCGACGAGCAGTCACGACTCGGATAAAACGATAAAAATTTGGTCAAAATGCAGCTTTTACCTCTCACATCGGTGTGTTTTGTGTCGGTACCGTGGAAATGAGAAGGCAGAAAACTTGCTGAAGAAGCCTGCGAGTGCTCTGCAGTGGGGGTCCTCTCCGACGCACGGCACTAATGTCAGGATGGTGCGTCACGTTAAAGCCACAGTTGGTTGCCGAAAAACACGCAAAAATGAGCAAATTGCTAAAAGCATAACTTAGCGGCGGCCCTCTTCACAACATAAGACAAAAATACAGGAGAAGCAGCGAGCCGAGCGGTGCGTGCAGCGAGCCGAAGCCGACAGACAGACACCTCCCACCGGACAGAAGATGCCAAGTTCGTTCGCTGGTGTCGCGGCGGCTCCGGTGCTACTTTCCGTCTGTCTGGATCCAGAGACGGTCTCTCACTCAAAGATGCTCCGGCAGAAAAAAAAAAAAAAAAAAAAAAACACCGCCTCTGACACCGCTGCTCCGGGCTCGTTCAATGCAATAAATCCGCCGTGGTCCGCAGTTATTCCTCTCGTTTTCAAGCCATCAGACAGCGGCTCCGTCTGCTCCGGGCTCTTCACTGGCGATGACTCGTCAAGGCGACGGCGGAGCGTTCACACAGCGGAGCCGCGTCAAGCTGCCGCCGATGACCCGGGTCGCACCGGAAACTGGAGCTATTTCAAAATATACTCGCCCAAAGGACAAATAAGATGTTTATTCTCGTGAACAGGCCTACTTTAGAGTACTAAGTCAAATGTTCCTGCTAGTAATGATAACAAAAAGTTTATATAAAGATCTTGGTTTTTGTTTTATTTTTTGGAAAACTGCATGAAAATTAAACACCGTTTATATGCAAATCCTTTCCTTCTTTGAATCTTTACAATGCAGGTGCAATGTTAGCATGATGAAATAATTTTTTTGTAATTTTGTTGACTTTTCTTTCTATATTTTCTGTATTTTTTTTTATCATTTTCATCATTCATTTTATAATAATATTCTGTGTTGTCTTTTTGCTTTTGTTTACCTCCTTTGTTGAATATCCATGCTGCTGTAACAATAAAAATAGAACACATTCAGGTTTGTAAAAAAAAAAATAATAATAATGTAAAAAAATAAAATTAAATAAAATTTAAAAAACACCTTAAGATGAGCTTTCATCCCACCGAGTCAAACATCGAAAAGGGCCAAACGGAGTCAACAAACCATTTTAGTCCATATGATTCCTCTTCCAGTCTGTTTTAAGAGTTGACTCTATTGTTTTTTTCAGGGTTCATACCACTTATTAGCAATCAAGTAGACTAGTAATTAAAACTGATTTTTTTTTTTTGATATATAAAAAATTAAGCACCAAGTGTCAACACACACTCTTAATTCAGGTTTCATTAACATTTAATAATAGCGACTTTTTCAATAATTGTGACATAACCAATCAGAAAGTGTCATGGGCGGGACATGGCTCAAGAACACAAGTTGCTCATCAGACTATCCTCTAGCCCCGAGACACAGTCATGTAGAATAGTCTGGCTGCACCTCATAATCATTCTGCTGTAGGAGGAGAAAAAAAAAAAACCTCTAGTTTGTTGTATTTGTATTTAAACCAATCACAAT